GGTTCCATATGAACCTGCACCAAGAAATTTAGTTTTCTTCCATTTATCACCCATTTTTTGGTATGAAATTGAAAAGGAATACATGAAAAAGTGGGATTTATGATGAATTTTCTGAACAGGGAATGCAAGAACTTGAAGCAAAACCACAAGAAAAGATGGGTTTTATTAGATGTTGAAGCAAAAGTATATGAGAAATTGAGTAGGGTTTACGATGAATTGTTTGTCCTCTTTATAGGAAATAGCAAGTACATTCTTCGTAGGAATAGGAATCCCTGTCATAAATGACTGAATCCAGGTTGAAATCTGAGTTAATCTCGGATTAGTCTATCTGTTCTAGAGTTCTTTGCATGCATATAGTTTCCTAATTATGTCATTTTTTTTTTAGTTATTAGTAGATTTGAGAGAGATAAGATTTTGACATTAGTTAGTTACCTATTTTCTCCTATATGTTTATGTAATTTTATTTTATTTTTCTTAAAGCCAATCAAAAGCTACGACAAGGGATTTTTATGCTTACTTTCTGTAACCTGATTGGACGGTTTAGCATAATCCCTTACCCAAATTTAAACTAATTTAATTAAGAAAAAGAGATTGACAAAATAGAAATTTATATTCATTATGGTCATGCAATGATTTTATAAGTTTCCTTATAATATTCCACATTTTAATTTCTTTTTATTTATTAATATTGGCCCCTGCTTCAAAAAAGTTGGCAATGGTTCGGCTCGATCAAAACCATCACCAAACCACTAATTCTGTAGCTATAACGTAACTACACCATAACTACGTAAGTTGATTCGGTTCAACTTGGTTAATAACCACGAAAATAAATTATTTTTTATAGGTCCACTTGTTAAATTGGAAAAAACAATTTATAAAAAAAGAGTTAATGAAAATAAAAACACAATACTAAGCCAATTTAGCAAATAATATCCCAATTCCCACATGTCAAATTTTCGAGATCTGTCTCTGTTTTTGTTACGGAGTGACGGAGAAGAATGATTTGGGGATGGCTATTGCTAATCGAGGCGTTAGTGGTCGTAGTGGCGAAAAGTAATGGTGGTCGTCGTACAACAGCGGAAAAGGCGGTGATTTAGATATGTGTTCAGGTATCTCGATTGAAATCCCCCCAAATGGCATATTCCGTAGAAATAGTATTCTTGCTTATTTTGATGATCCTCGATACAGAAGAAAGAGTTTTGGTTGAATTTATTGATTCCAATTTTCATATATGATTAATATTTGTGTAGTAGGGTGCATGGTTATTGAATTAGGTTAGTTGGACTTTGTGGATCAGTAATGGGCTAGACAGATTCATAGAAAGAATAATGAAAAGCCAATTGCCCAATTGATATTTTTTTTAGCGGGTAATTGGTTCGGGACAGGACGACGGAGTAAATACCATACCTGACCTGCCTCATCCCGAACCTTAGCATTAAAATCAAATACCATATCCATCTCATTGCGCAATCGATTCGATTTTTTTCCTCCATTCAGTTCGGTTCGATTTTGACCGTTCGAATTGCCATCCCTACTTCCAAAACCTTTTTTTGGTAGTATGAACTTTCACTCTAATCAACCGTGTAATATGGTGCAAATAAAATTATATGTTCAGTAATTTTTGGGAAAATT